GTCAGCGTCGGAGAACAATGGCTCCAGCAGAACAGGCTGCAGCCAATGAGTGTGTCGCCCTCCTGCACTCACTGCTCCTTCAGGTGAGGCATTCATGGTGTTAACATTTAAACATTTCTAATACTCCGCTTCTTTGTGTGTAGTGCTTTTTTAAGCTAATGTGCATGTTAATTCAGTTCAGTTTTATTTATAAATGTCCAAATCAGGACAGTTGCCTGGTAGTACTTTCTTTTGTAAAGTAAAGACCCCCATGAGCCAGCACTCGGCGACAGTGTGAAGGAGAAACTTCTTTTTAACAGGAAGACAAGGCTCGGGGGGCTTAAGTCGGGCGAGCTTTAGAAATTGCTATTGATGATTGATGTTGATCGCCTCTGTCAGTGCGCCCCAGGGCGGCTGTGGCTACAGTTTAGCATCACCAGTGTGTGAATGTAGTGTAAAGTGCTTTGGGGTCCACAGGGACTATAAGTAAAGCGCTGTACAAACACAGGCCATTTACCAGTGATGAAACTTTTTGATCCTAAGTTTTCAGTTCGGCTGCTTACAAATGGAGCTTTTTCTGTTGATTGTAGTGTCTGTCCTCTGCTTACATCACATTTCCATGAACTTCCTGCCTAGAAAAGTTTGTGTCTTTATTTGTTGCCCCTTTTTGCCTTTCTGACGCTCGCGATTCGTTTCTCTTTGCAGGAAGGGCCGCGGGGAGGCCAAGAAGTGCCGCAAGGTGTACGGGGTGGAGCGCAAGGATCAGTGGTGCACCGCCTGCCGCTGGAAAAAGGCCTGCCAGCGCTTCCCGGACTAGAAGCAGCCGAGGCCATGGCGAGAGAGAGAGCGTGAGAGACGTGGATGGACGGATGCGTTACAACAAGAGACTTTTATCAAAAAGAGAATATAAATCAGGGCCCGAGAGCCATCAGCTGTTTTACATGTGTGTGTTTTTTACTTTCAACTTGTTTCTTTTCTTTCCTAAAGGAATGCTTCTGGACTTTTCTGTATCTTTGTATCTTGATCCTGAAAACTGAAGTCTGCGATGGTGCTAGCTGTTGACTGACTTTGACCTACGTGATGTGCTAAGCCTACAATACTCTTTATCCAAAGGTCATATTACTACTCCTGTAGCTCCACTCTATTAGACTTGGCTGTTTTTGTTATTCCGACCTTCTCTTCCAGTGGTTACAGTGGTTATGATGTACATTATATTGTGTGCTCTGAGTTACGTACGAGTATTTTATAC